CCCCCCATCCCCAGCACACCAGGCATGGGGGAGGTATGGGGAGGTTTCCCCGCGTCGGCGGCCACTTTGGGCGCAACTTCCCCCCCCCCATCCCGCTCACACGTAGTCCCACCCCCATGTTGCCACGGGCAGCTGGGGTGGGCAGAGTTGCCTTCTGAAGTCAGTCCAGTTAGCTCCACGATGAACGCAGGCTGGAGGGCATTGATGCTGGCCGCGGGCCCTGGCCAAAACAGGCGGCTGGGAGCGTCGCGCTGGTCGGTGGCTGCGGCCGCCATGGCCAGTGCCAAGACGGCCTGCTGCGTTCCCATGCCCCCACCACCCCAACCTTGACCACGAGGGGTGAGACTGCGGCGAAGGGATACGTAGTAATAGCATTGGCGGGGCCAGCTGCGACTGCAGGGGGTGGTGCAAGTGATGGGTGCTGTGCGCGGTTCTGTGGCAGCGGCCGCTAGCGTGCAAAAGAGGCGATGGAGGAGAAGGAGGAGGAGGAGGAGGAGGAGGAGGAAGAGGAGGAGGAGGAAGAGAAGGAGGAGGAGGAGGAGGAGGAGGACGAGGACGAGAAGGACGAGGAGGGAGGAGGAGGAGGAGGAGGAGGAGGAGGAGGAGGAGGAGGAGAAGGAGGAGGAGGATCAGGAGGGGGGAGGAGAAGGAAGGAGAAGGAGGGAGGAGGAAAGAGGAACGAGGGAGGAAGGAGGAAGGAGGAGGGAGGAGGACGGAGCGATGGAAGCTGGCCAGGCTTGCGTGGGCCTGGGCCCATGGAGTGGGCTCGGCGGCAGTGGCTGTGCGCCGCGGCCGCCCTGCAGCCCTTGCCTGGCCATCTGGCGGCGTGGTGCCTTGTGTCCCGTGCTCCCCGCTACAGATGCAGGACCACCCCGTCCGTGCCGCTGCCACACGAGTGGGAAGGAGCAACTTATAGAAGGATATAGAAGAAGGATACAGAGTGGGAAGGAGCAACACGAGTGCCGCTGCCACACGAGTGGGAAAGATATAGAAGAAGAAAACACGGCATACACATGAACTTGTGGCGCTGCGCGCGGAATTCTTGGATCCGCGCTGGACCCCCCTCCCTAGGCGCGCGGAGCGCGCCATGAGCGGCGCCGGAGGCGCCGCTGGGGGGGCTCAGCGCGGATCCAAGAAATCCACATGGAGCGCCAACAGTTTAGGTTAGTTCCCGTTTTTCTTCGAGGTTAGGTGGGCGATCGGCGGAGGGGGACGAGGCACACCGGTGGTGTAGCCAGAAGGGATGAAGGATGGGCGAGGGCTCTTTCAGGACCTGGTGGAGAGTGTGCTCTTCGTGTAGTCGCCGCCTAATCTCCAACACTGAGCTGGTGATGCAAACCACTACCAAAAAGGTGTATGAAAGAGGTCCCTATATGCGGCCACATGTAATTGGTGATTGTGAAAGACGCCGGATAAACAACATACGCGGGTGAGAAAGCGACGCGGGTTTGTTCAGCACTTCTGAATATCATGATACATTGTGTTGTACTTGTAGCCGCCGCAGGTGCAGGTGGCACGTCGGATGAGCGGTGGGTGAGAAAGAACTGGCGGGTTTTGAACCCCTATGTTGCCGTTGACTCACTATCTTAGCGCTTCCTCCGGTTGCCGCTGCCGCCGTTGTCTGATGCTGTTGTCAAGGAACGGGCGTCGTGGTGTGCAATGTGCCGTAAGGGGAAGGAGACCAGCTGGTGCTCCTGCTGCTGCTGTCCCAACAGTGAATGCAACAAATTGGGTAAGGATCGCCCATAGGTTGGGAAACGGTAGTGGGACAGCTGGTGGCGCGTGGCGCCGCCTGAACAAAAAAATGGGTCAGATTCCGCAATCGTTGATTGCAAAATTCGCGCGTCGGGAAGGGGAGTGACGCATTGACGGGCCTCTGTACGGCAAGTCCCGCCTCGGCAAGAGGATGGCGTTCGCCTCTGAGCCGCTGGTCGTCGGGAGAAGAGGGGATAGGTGGTACCACTCTCACCTGAGGGGTACAACACACTCTGTGGTGGGCGTCGTGTCGTCACCGATCACGCTGGCGGCGAGCTCGCTGTAGGGTTATCCGCTTCCGATGCGGTTCCCGTGGGCTTAAGTCGGGTGCAGTCGCTGATTGTGCTGGTCAGGGCGCCAGCTTCCGCTTTGATGCAGTCCATGATGTCGTAGCCAGGGTCGTGCTCGTCCTCATGCTGGTGCTGGATAGCCGTAGTGTCAGAGCGCAGTGTTGGATATCTCGTGTCGAATAGGTAGACCTCCCTGCTGGGCGTATTTTCTGTCAGACATCATTACTTGGGTTCTGGGCGGCCGTGGCACGGTTTGCCCTCCAGCGTCATTTGATGTCGGGAAGGCGTGCTGCGCCAGTAGGAACTGCTGCAGATGCTGGTTGAAAGCCCTGATGTCCGTCGTGAGGGACAGTCCTCGCGTGAAGAGGTCGGCAGTCGGCATCGTGTCGTGGCCGCCGTGGGTACCCTCAGAACCCCAGATTTGAATGCTGATGCCGTAGCACCTGACTCCAACGTCCTCGCCGGCGTCTGCGGACCGTGCAGCGCGCGCAACTGAGCATTGGAATCGGCGGCGAGGGGGAGATTGGCGTAAGTCGGGCGTGTCCCCCTACAGGAGGTTTTGGGGCGAAAAATAACAAATACTCAACATACCCCCCAAATGCTCAAAAGTAGTCACACAAAAAAGTCCCCAGACAATGTTTTTTTTTTTTTTTTTTTTTTTTATTAAAAAAAATCATAAACAAAATGTTTGAACATTCCTCCTGTAGAGCAACGGGCCCGATTTAAAGTTTAACAAAACTTGCGCCAAGCTTCGCGGAGCGCTGCAGGATCGGGGCCACCGCCGAGAGGCCCCAGAGCAGGCCCCAAGCGGGTCGACGGGGGGCCTCTGCCCACGCCTCGCCCTGCCCTCGTCGCGCGGGCCGCCGCCTCGACGGGGTCCGGCGGACCTGGTTAAAGACCCGCCTGGGTCTCCACAAAGGGGGTGGCCGACGAGGGGGGTGGGGGGGGGTGGCCGACAAAGGGGGAGGTGGCCGACAAAGGGGGGTGGCTGAACAAGGGCCCTGAAGGGGCCCCTTCAGGGCCCCCGTTTTGGGCACATGCCTGGCCCCCCAAAAAGTGCCCCCAAACCGCTCCTGCAGGGGCCTGTTCTCCACCCCCCATGTAGGTCACCCCCCTTGTGAGGTCGGGCATGTCCTCCCACAGGCGGGCTTGAGGGAGGACAAATGCAAAACAGCAACAACAAAACAAACATAGTCGAGCAACATCGGAACATCGCTCCCTGGCTATTTGTTGTTACTAGTTCTGACTCTTCCTCCTGTAGAGGGACATGCCCGCCCTGACCCCATTGCCGCCCGCCCAAGTCTTTTGCGGCCACAGCACCCGCATCACGTAGGAAGGCAGGGGCGAGGGACCAGACCACGCACACTGGACGAGCGCCCGCGCCGGTGCCGCTGCCGCGGCGACGCAGGGCGGAGCTGCCAGAGCCGCCTCCTCGGCAAACAGTGCACGGGTCCCGGTGCAGACGGGCCATTGGCCCCGGGCAAGACGAAGCCAGGACGAAGACACACGGGTGAGGATGCTTCGAGAATCCCTGAGATCCGGCGGCTCCGGAGGAAGGCTCGGGCGCCGCGGCCTCCTCAGAGCGTTCTGGAACGGATTCGTCCTCGTCCGAGCCCCGTCCGAGCAGTGCCCTCCCCTGCTGCCGGTTTCCCATCCAGACCGCGCGGCATCCTGACTTGGCACGCCCAGAATCGGGACGGAGAGCATGGGCACGACGCCCGAAGGCAGTGCCTGCTCACGCGCGTGGGACACGAGGGGCTGCCCTTCGGAGCCCTCTTAAGTCATGTGGGCAGCAAGCCAAGTCCTGCCCCTTTGAAGAGCGAGCGCTGCCAACCGAGCACGGAGTGCTGGCACAGTGACAAGACTGGTGGCCCGATGGGCCCAGGACCTCACGGATTTCCCCCTCAGAGCACATCTCGCCATCGCTCGGACGTCCATTCCCTGTGCTTTTTTGTTGGTTTCGTGCGTGGCTTTTTCGCCAAATCATCAAGGATGCTCCTCGATGGCCCTCGCCGAAGGAAAACTGCACACGTCCGAGCGATGCCAAGGCATGTCCTCCATGGCAGGCTTCCGCTCGAGGCGCTCGCGCCCCGCCCCTCCCCCCGGGACATCCGCCGACCTGACTTCGCGGCCCCGTGCAGAGGCCCCGACACGCTCCCCGGGCGCAATGCTTCGCCCCTGACTCGTTTGGGTGGTCCCGGGGCCCGCTGACGGGGCCCTGGGGCCGCAACTCGTCGGACATGTGCTGTCGGGGGTGATAGCTCAGGCCTCCGGCATCCGTTCGGGACGGTCCGGGCACCCCAGGCACGTCCCTGACGAGGCGCAGACGCTGGCACGCATCCCGAGGCTGGAAAAACCGTTGTGAACCGCCCGCGCAAACATAAAAAGCATGAAACCTCGAACAAAAGAACAAAAGAACCTTGATTCTCGACAAATCACATCGTCGGCCATCTGAGCGACCGCTCGAGGCACTCGCGCCTCCACTCCCACCCCCGAAGAGGCCGGAGCCGCGCCTCTGCCGCCTGACAGATGCAGCCTGCGTGGGGCCCGGGCGTGGGCGTGGAGCATCGGCAAGGGTGGCGCCTCGGTCGGGCGTTGGCAGAACTGGGTTCAGTGGGATCAGGTTTAGTGATGTGTACCGGGGGACCCCCCCACCCCCGCCCGTTCCACTAACCGGAACTGCCGTCACCCGAGAAAACTTCAGCTGCGCCAGACCTGGTCTGGTGACTCTGGCCAATTCAAGGGCTGCAGGGCCCTATGCTGCTAACTGGGTCCCCCTGCCTGGGGTCCTGGCTGTACCCGCCTCGGTGCGAAGGGTGGGGCAGGCAGGGCCGGCTGCAGACCTGCTCGCGTCGCGTCGGCCAAACGGCGGGAGGCCCCTGCCCCGACGGCGGCCCCCGGCGGGCCATCGCCCGGCCCCGGGGCCGTCGAATAGCATCCCGGGGCGAAGCGCCGGCCACGGAGAAGGGATCGAGACTTCTGGGGGCCCCGTGCGGGAGAAAAACAGCACGTCGGATGTCCGGGAGGGCGCGGAGGATCAGGCGGATTCGCCTTCCCCCCTCGCCAGTGTCACAGTCCCCCTTGTCGGATTGCGCATCACACGATGGGGCATGTTTGAAGAGCGAGGTCATACGCTCCACCCGGTGGAGAGAAAGAAAGAAACTCCATGATAAGGGATCGGGGGAGGGGCAGGATCTCATATATGATCCCGGGTAAGGGTTCACAGCCCCTCGCCAGATGGGATGGCTCCATGGTTCCAGAGGCCCCCACCCCCAGATGAAATGGGGGGGTGTTGGACGTCGACGCCGACGCCGACGCCGACGCCGACGCCGACGCCGCCGCCACCGACGCCGCCGCCGCCGACGACGTCGACGTCGCCGCCGAAGACAAAGACAACGACGACGACGACGACAAAGATGACGACGACGACGACGACGACGAAGATGACGACGACGACGACGACGACGACGACAACGACCACGACGACGACGACGAAGACCACGACGAAAACGACGACGACGAAGATGACGACGACGACGACGACGACGACGACGGACGACGGACGACGGACGACGACGACGACGACGATGACAACGACTACGACGAATCACCCCACACCCACAGGGGCAAGGCAGGAGGTGCAGCGGCACCCTCCACCACGCCGCGCGCACAAGGCCACGACCGCAGTGGAGGGGGGAAACGGTGCCATGCGCGAGGCCTTCGCGAGGCTCACGTGCGTGCCCATGCAGCGGGGGGGGGCTCGACCCAATGTGCATTGGCGGAGGGGGGGGGGGGAGGGAAACCCTGGATCATAGATTGCGCAAGCGCAACTAGTTTGCCCCTCCAGCGTCTCCCCACCTTCCCAGTGTGCAGCCACTGCGACGCGAGGAAGAGGCACAACAAATGCCGCAGCCCCACAGGCGGGGGAGTTCGCTGGAAGCCCCCGTGCCAAGGCCATCCACGGCGCACACTGAGCGTGTCCCCCCTCGCGCTGACCCTGAAAATGTGCGCCATCGTCCATCGAGTCCGACTCCTCAGACGCCCAGCAAGGTTCAATAATCCTCAGAGCGTGTGTTAGCCCCAACGTGTGCTTGTCCATCGATGCCCTTCGATGGGACGCAAGCGATATGATGATATACTGGTTGGGCTGAAAGGGGTAACACACACATTGGGCTAACACACGTCCTGAGGATCATCGAAAAGCACGCCCGAGAAACAATGCCGCTTTGCTCTTCACAACCCGTTTCGCCTTTTCTCATTGCTGGCAAGTAGAAGACCCTTGCTTCCATGTTCGACGCAGGTCGTGAGGTCTATTGCCAACCCTGGTGTGAACCAACTGTTACCCGCCTTTCTGGTGAGGTGAACAAGCATCACTTACACGTGCGTGTACTTCGGTTGTTCCCATAGAGTCGTCTGAACTGCCGACGTTGATCGTTAAACTAAGTCTGAATTGGCACGTCTCTTAAGTCAGCAATGCACTTGCCCACTACGCTGTTGATTCTAATATTCTCAAGTCCTCGAATGGCGTTACCGGTCACGTCATCGTCCTCGTCATAAAACTACCCTGTTGCGTTTCTCGATTTGCCATTCCTCCTCCAGTAGCTCGTCAGCAAGTCTCTTCAAGTCGTCGGCTACTTGGTCATTTACTTGGGGGAGTCTCGCTTCGAATTCGACCCAACCTGTTGGAGGACCTTTCACCGATGTGCCTTCACTTGTTTTCCAAGTGTGTTGATGTGGTGTAATCTCTCTCAAAAACTTCATTTCGGCTGTGCGTGCTTATCTTGCCTGTGATCTACCCCCCCCGGCTTTAGTATCCCCGTGTGCAATTTGAGGCCTGGCTCTAACTTGGGGGTCAACAGTTCGATTCTTACTACTTGATGCATCCTGAGTAACACGTTGACTCGACGCACCCAGTGGCCACTCTCTCCAGCCGAGGTGGCCCCCTCTTGTGGCCGACCCCCTCGCTGGAGGTGGCACCCCTGGTGGTGGCGGTGCCGCCTCGGCAGCACCCGGCCAGAAATACCAGCACATAAAAAACACCCGACGACGGCTCGACCCTCACGCCCCCCTGCTCCTCCTCCTCCTCCTCCTCCTCCTCCTCCTCCTCCTTCGCCTCCTCCTCCTCCTCCTTCTTCCTCCTCCTCGTCCTCCTCCTTCTCCTCCTCCTCCTCCTCCTCCTCGTCCTCCAGGGGCCTCCACGAGGAGGGACCTCCCCCCCACCCTCTGGGGCCGTGGCCGGCTCGAGGAGCTCGTGGACACCGTCTCGTCCGGGCACGTGCGGGGGGAGCCTGGAGGCCCAGCGGGGACGGGCGTCCACGGGGCAGAGAGAAGTCGAGGAGGAGGAGGCCGGCGACGAATAGAAGGCAGAGGCCAACCAGGAAGAGTAGGAATGTTGGATGAGGGTGAGGAGGCCAGCGACGAATAGAAGGCAGAGGCCAACGAGGAAAGAGTAGGAAGGCTGGATACGTGCGTGGTTTCCGTCGTCATCTTACTCGTCACTTGTAGCCGAGGAATATAACTCGGCGTGTGCTCCCTGGCGTGGCACAGCGGCACGTCCGAGCCCTGGCAAGCCGTCAGCTTTTTCTGCGACTTCGCCGTATCACTGATCAGGTTGCTGGTCGTGTTGTCGTCAGGAGGGTTGATCACCTAGACGCCTTCGGTGCCTCTGAAATCCTACGTGATCCATCTGATGTATATCGTCGGGCTAGCTACTCGATCAAATCTGTGGTAGCACGTCATACGAGACATCCGTGGGATCGGGCAATAAGTGGAAGCCCTGTGAAATCTCACTCGCCTGCTAAATGGGGGGCAAACTTCTGGAGTTCAGAGTCAGCGAAGAGCAAACTACGAAACACAACTTGTCCAAGAAGCATACATCGCCTGGGCGACAAATATCCAAAGGAGTTACACGGAACAACACCTAGGAATATCATGTTTGGGGAAACAAGCACGGCCCCGAACAAGAAGCCTGCCCTCTCTTCTCGGGGTCGGCCAAGAGGGGGGCGTCCAAGAGGGGGGGGGGCGCAGATCATGGCCGGCGGCATGTGCGTGGCCCAGGGGGGGGGGGCCAGGGACGCATTGAAATGAGAAGAGGCGCCATGAAATCTGGGGGGATAGCATGGCCCCCGCCATGATGTCCCCCCCCCCCCCCTGGCCATCACCCACCTCTTGGCCGCCCCCGATCTCCCCCTCCCCAGCCCATCCCCGCCGGGCAGGCGGGTGGCGGGCCTTGGTAGCCCGCGCTCCAGCTGTCGTCCGGGAAGTGCCTGCGAGAGGGCGGGCCCGCGGGCATCCGACTCGAGAGGGGACGCGGCCGGACGAGACCGACGTGTGCGCAGGAGGCGGAGGAGGAGGAGGAGGAGGAGGAAAAGGCAGAGGAGGAGGAGGAGGAGGAGGAGGAGGAGGAGGCGCACGAAAGCATGGATCAACAAATCTTGGGGTCTGGCCCGCGGATCGGAGAAGGTCTCCCCTCGGGGCAACGGAGGCCAAGGCCGCCCGATGCGGCGCGGCGACGGAGCACGTCGATCCCGGAACAAGGACCCGCCGCTGAGCCACGCGTCACAGTCCATGCTTGCGCGGCCGTCTCGGGGCCCTCTTGGGCGCCTCCTGGGCCGTCCTGGGGCGACCTTGCAGGCCTCTTGTGCACCGTCTTGCGGCGTCGGGAGGCCGAGAGGGCGGGAGGGCCGAAGAACTGTCAGCAGCCGATAGAAAGGCAAGGATGCTTGCTTGCTGGGGGCCTCTTGGAGCCCTCTTGGGAGGCCTCTTGTGGCGTCTCTGCTTGACCCGTCTCTGCTCGCCCCCTGCGGCGTGTGCCTGTCGGGGGCGCCTCCTGTGCGTGTATCAGGAGGGCGGGGGAGGCTCCTGGAAGGCAGGAGCCATCGTAGGAACCCTCGTGGGACGCACAGGGACGTACTAGCACTGTGTGTCCTCTTCGCAGGCGTGTGTCCGACCAACACATCTAGTTCCGTCATCTTGTAGTATATCAGTATATCATTTCCCCAGCGGTACGGCCAGGCAGCGCCCGCCACGAAGCATGTACTACAGTAGGAACTCGACCACAAGAAGCCTTCCACAAGAAATCCAACCCTGAGGCCCCATGAGGTCCCTTGACTGTTGGTGTGGGACCGTCACGCTTTCCATAGCAAAACGATCGACATTTAAGAAGCCCAGGGCACCCTGGAGGCAAGCAGGGTGTTTCTTGGCATGGGCTTCCACTGTACAGCATTTTTCGGCGAGCGCGTCGCCCCTGGGGGGGGGGGGGGGGCGACGCACACACACACACACACACATACATACACACACAGTACTAGCATGAGCATGATGGGGTGGCGCGGACCTCAGAGAGCCTGCGAGAGCCCGCTCCGAAGCAGGGCGGGTACTGCTGCTTGAGGCCCCCCGTCTCCTCGGCGAGCTGCAGCGCATGTCTGCGCCGCCACACCCGGGCACCCGACGCCACGATTTCCTCAGAACGTCGACCCCCAAAGAGGTCTCGACCCGTTCCCCGGAACAGGCTCGATCCTGCGTCGTCTTTGACGGCCCCAAGGCTTGGTGAGGGCTTCTCTGCGATGTTCCTGCCTCTGGATACTCTCTAGCAGCTGCGCCTCGCCGAAGGCCTTCTGGGGAGGGGCCAGATCGTCCCGAACGGCCGCCAGAGAATCCCGATCACCATCCCTCATCATCTTCACTCGCTCCGGACATGACGCCTCCTCCACCCCCTCCAACTTCGCCTCATCTCCCTCCCCTCCTCCGTCGGTTTCTCCCCCGCCTCATCGTCCTCATCATCATCCTTGTTTCTCGTCCTCCTTTCTTTTGCTCGTGCGTAATCGTCATCCTTCCTGTTCCTCCTTCTCCTCTCCTGTCTTCCAGCTCCACATCCTGCTTCCCCTACGCCTCCTATGGTCAAGTCTGCATATTATTATGCCGCTTCTCTGCCTATTCCTGCATTCTCGCCTTATCCTTGCACGATTCATATTGCTGATCAAAGTACGTCCTCTTTTTTTTGCTCATCTTCCTTCTGGCACCCCCTCAACCATTACGCCATTGACCCCGTCTCTGCGTTGTTCTCCTCATGTTGCTCTTCCCATCAATCGTTCAAACACATATTCTTCATGCAATCGCTAGTCACCTCCTCATCGTCAAAATCGTCACAATCATCTTCGTTGTCCTCATCCACAGCCTCCTCATCCGCCTAGTCCGCCGCCCTTCCCTCGTCCTCCTCATCCTCCGCCTTCTTCTTCATCATTATCTCAGTCCTCCATCCTGATCATCATAGCTGTTCCATTCCATTCCTCCTCCTCCTCATCCTCCATGATTGCTGGATAGTTGGGATGTGAAGGCTTCTGCGAAGCTGCCCCCCCTAAAAAAAAACTACCTAAGGATTCGTAACGTCTGCATCGCCTGAACTGTGCACGCCAAGGTGTGCGTGAGAGCACGGTGATCGCTCCGATGGCTGGCGGAGTAGCGTTGCACTCTTCTCGAGGCTCAGCGGGTCGGCGGGTCACTATGTCGCACTGCCTGTGCGGCGTGCGTGGCCCCGTGAGGGAGCACAACCCTTGGCGTCAATTGAAAATCACGTGCAAATCACTGTTGGATCCATCTTGACGGAATTGAATTGCGCATCAGCCGTAGCCAAAGTCTGGAGAAGCCGTGGAACAACTCTGAACAACGTGCGACCAATTGCGAGCCGACCGTCGCCTAAATGATGCTTAAACGAGCAGCGATGTGATGAGCCAAATGTGAACCAAGTTTGGCGGTGTCCTGGCGCGGTGTCGAGCCTTGGCGGTGTCGTCAAGCTTTGGTTTCGCGGTGTCGCAGCCGACGTGTCAAGTGTTAAATGTTTATCGCGCTATTGCATGTCAGCTCGGCGCCGCGGACCGAGTGTCCACCGGCAATGTCCGCTGTCGTGTTGTCGCGGTGCCAATTGTGAAGGGGGTTCGTGTCAACTGTAAAGCACATACGATTCCGTCGCAAAACCAGCAGATGACGATCGACGTTTTGCAACACTCGTTTCGAAGATCATTGACAGACTGGGGTAGAAGCTCTCCGCGAGCACAGCCTTCATCGCGCCCACAGCTGCAACGCTCCTCTAAACTGGAGTTCTGAGATGCACTTCGACGGGAAAGGACAGGCCACGCGGTCCGCGTCAAGACGACGGCGCACAAGATCGGCACCCGCCTCGGGCTCCATGGGCAGATGCAGACCGCGCACTGGGACAGCATGCGCCCACGCTCATGCTGCGTCCACCGCATCTGCTCGCAGCTCTCATCTTCTCGCCGCCCCCCGTGCTCTGCCGAGCCGTGCGAGCAGCGCGTCAAGCAGCTGCCAACCCGCGGCACATGCGAGAACGGGGCCTGGTTCGGGCACTCGCAGCCGTCGTCATCCTCGTCACAGTGTGAGGCCACACTTCAACTCCACGATGTTGCCCTCTGGATCCCGAACATAGGTCGAATACCCGTCCCCGTCTGCACCGTAACGCTGGCCCTCTGCGAAGGGGGGGAAGCCCTTGCTCGTGAGGTACTCGCGCAACGCAGCAGGGTTATACGAGCCCACGCTGATGGCAAAGTGGTCGAGAGTGCCCGCCTCGGGGTCCATGGGGGGCGCGGGAGCCCCCTCCGGCAGTCCCGAGCCACCCGCGTGGAGCTTGTGGCTGAGGGGCGAGTCGTAGGCCTGGAGGTCGATGAGGCTGCTCCCGATGCGCACGTGGCTCAGGCACCCCCCCATGCGGCCCATCCACTCGGGAGACGCCCCGAGCATCGGCGCCGCGCACGAGGAGGTGGGGCGCGATGGGGGGGCCTGCCTCCCAAGAAGGCGGGGGGGAGGAGCTTCTCGGAGGACGGGGACCTTCCTGGAGGCCCAAGCGGCGGGGAGCCTGCCTGGAAGCGGGGAGAGGGCTTCTGGGAGGGCCGGCCCCTGCACGCTCGGGCGCTCCCCCGCCTTCTGCGCGAGGCCGCCGCCCTCGTGCCGCCCCCCCCCTTGCGCGCCGCCGAGAGCACGCCCACGTAGAACTCCACCATGCCCTGCACGTCCCTGCAGCGCAGGACGACGCCCAGGCAGTGCCAGGGGGGGTCGCCACTGGGGGTGTGGCCACCGCGTCGAGGAGGCCGAACCCTCGGGCCCCCCAAAGCCCCACCCCCACCCTGAGCCTCCCGAAACGCCCCAGCGAGTCAGTAATCTCCTCGGCCCGTCTCGTGCGCGCACCAACATCGATGCGGGACCCGTCGACCTAGCGCATGAGCGCCTGATCCACGGGTCGGGGAGCGTGCCCCTCGAAGCACGGCGCCGGTGCCGCCTCGTGTGGCGACGGAACGCACCGATCCTGCTCGGAGACGGGACCCGTCGCTGCTCCACGCGCCTCGCTCCATCGTCACGTGCCTTCGACCGTGACCGTGGAAGCCCGAGCCCAGAGATGGAGCCCCGCGACCCCCCTGGTGGTGACCCCCCTCTTGGCTCAGGTCGGGCAAGTCCCCCTACAGGCGGATTCTGGAGGACAAGTATGACATAGTCAGCAGATCATCAAAAATAGCCCAACATAGTCAGAACATGTGTTGAAACTGCTTTGGGTGGATATTCCTCCTGCAGAGGGTCATGCCCGACGTCACCCCTGGCACGGCCCGAGATGTGGTCGATCCGGTCGTAGGTCACCGGGGGGCTGCCCGGCGCCACGGGCACGAGGCCCTCCCACCTCCAGGCGCTGCCGGGGGATGGTCCCTGGCCCGAGGCATCCATCCCCACTGGAGGCCCCCCAGGGGCCCAGGAGGGGCCCCCTGTGGCAGAAGCCGTGCGGGGCGATCCCGGCACACAGGAGCGCCCTCGTCGACGGGCAGCTGCTGGAACGCAACCCGAGACAGGAGCACCGCCGAGACCCGACGAGAGCGGTCGAAACTTTCCAAGCCCATGCCCCAAACGCAATCCAAACGCTAGCCCCCAGCATTGCCACACTGCCCCCATGCCACCTCCCTGGCACGGCGGCCGCCTCCGCGCACCTCAGGAGGCAGCTCCTGGGAGGTCTTCGACGGAGCGATCAAAGGCCAGTGGGCCACATTAAAAAGCCATCGAGCCAGAGCAGGCCATATTAGGCTGGATTGTGCACTGAATTGCGTGAAGGCCAGATCCGGCCAGGTTCCGACCCTTCCTGAGTCTGAAGCGAACCTCCCAGGAATTGCATGGTAGGTTAGGGAGGAAGCTGGCTCAGGGGGGGGGGGCGAGCTTGAAACCGGCGATACCTAGCCGATAGATCGGCGATGGGCCGAACCTGCATGCTCCCGGGCGGGGCGGGCCGGCGAGGAATGGGCGACTGAGGGCCGATGCCATCCCCCCCCTTGAGCCCGCCGCGCCCCCCTCGCCGGAGGGCTCCTCCTGCAGAAGGGCTCCGCGAGCAGCTGGGGCCGGCAGAGGGCGCCGCAGTGCAGCCCCGTGCGTCGACGCCGCCGGCGACGCCTCGGCGCTGCGACGGGGAGCTGCTCCACACCGAGCCGCTCCACACCGAGACGCGTCGCCGAGGCATCGGCGACGTTGCGGCGCGGTCGCCCCGCCCGGCCCACGGCGCCGAGGCATCGGCGACGCTGCGGCGCGGTCCCCCGGCCGGCCCACCTGCTCGGACCCCCGTCGGGGAGGCCTGGACCGACGCTGCCCCTGAGCGAGGGAATCGTGCACCTTCGGTGGCAACTCCTGGGCGCATCCCATCCCATGCTGCCGGCTCTGGCAAATCGACGCCAGCCGACGCTAAATCCACGCCGATCGACGCGAAATCGACGCGAACGGGCGCTCATCGACGATAGACCGACGCTCAATCAGAGCCACACCTCATCGATTCCCAGTCGCAAATCGACGCCAGTGCACTCCCAGGCCAAAGGTACGAGGGTACACAAGAGGCTCCCACGACTTGCCGCCAAAGGCACCCGACCGCACCTGCGCGCAGCCGAGGCCGCGCGAGGCGCCGCACCGCCGCGCGCCGCGGCCGCGCCGAAGGCGGCCGCGGCGAGCCCCGCGGCGAGCCCTGCGGCGGCCCGCGGCGGCCGCGCGGCGGCGGCGCCGAGGCGCGCGGGGGCGCCGGCGCGGCGGCCGCCGCAGGCGGCCGCGGCGAGCCCCGCGGCGAGCCCGGCGGGGGGCGCGGGGGGGCCGTTCTGGTGGACCCACGAGAGGGTCCAGCGAGCAGAGGGTGGTGCAACAGATCTGGTGCACCAGATCTGTGGGGTGCCATCGATTTGGGGCGTGGAATACGTTCCAGAGCGTCAAGGTACTTAGTGCTGGATGCCCGTGTGCAATGCGTCAGTTGCAATACAGTGCAATGCAATTCTCTGGCGCAGTGCAATTGCAATACAATTGCCCCAAATCTATTCTACCACCCCCTCTCAGCTGGACTCGCTTCGGGGCCAACCAATGCAGTGTGCGAAGGCCCGTGCCACGAGCGGCGGCATCGGGGCGGGGGGGCACGCTGCGGTCGGGAGCCTCTGCTTGAACTGCAACGCGCTCCCATCGCTGGTGCTTGCGCACCTAATATAACCACGGTTTGAAAAGCTTGTAGCCATGGTTCAGTCACTGGATCAGAACTCCATCCTGCGAGCAACTCCGTCATCAGGCGACCACCGAGAAGCTATCCGATTCGCTTCTCCCGCGGAGGCCCGCGCCACGCGCAACGATATCGGGCCGCTCGGGGCTCAACGGCGTCTGGTGTCCCTCGGCTCGCGCTGAGGCATCCCTGGATGTCAGCGAGGAGATCAAAGGATGCACTTGGATGTGCCTCGACTTGTCTGGATGTGCCTCGATGTATCTGCATTGGCCTCGAGTCATCCGGCTTGAGCGCCACACATCGATTGGCGAAAAGTCGCCAAGTCCTTAGAGATCGGGGCTGGGGAGCGCCGCAGTCAGGAACTCTTGCTGCATGGGCAACGAGAAAGAGGGGACGGGCACAGGGGGGGACGCCTGGACCCGGGATGGGCGCTACATCGCCGATGAACCGGCTATGTGACTCCGATCGCAAATCCGCATGGTCCTGGGAGGGGGTGGGCCCTCGGGCCCCTGCTACGGGCCCCTACCTATCGGCGGTGACTGGGCGACTGGGGGTCGATGCACCCCCCCCCATGAGCCTATCCCCGCTAGCATTGCCCCTGACTGACCAGCGTGTCGCCGTGGCGGCCCCGGCGACCCGCTGTACCCATTACCTCCGACGAGTTGTTGTGTTCGCAAGGCCAGCGTCTTCCGTCGATTTCGCCCCCCCAGGGCCGTCACTGGGGCACGGGATCATGAGAGTTTATCCGGGGCGGGACTGGCCCTGGGGACAGGGATCGGGACCACCTCTGGGGCCGCGCATCGGAACAACAGAACATCGGCGGCGAGCGAGAGGGGGGGGGGGGGGGAAATGAGGAGGAGGAGGATGAGGCCTTCGCAAAAGGCGGCGGGACCTCTCAGGAGCCCTCTGGACTTCTGGAAGTTTTCTGCGCCTTCGGGGGAGGCTCAGAAAACTTCTCGGAAGGCCAGGGGCTCGCTGAGCTTCTGACCAAGCCCGGCCCCTCTCACGCTAGGAACAAGGAAAGTCGACACCAACACGAACAGGGCGATGAGATTCGAGGAGGCAAGAGGAGTCTCTCTGGTGGTGTGGTCCCGCCCATCTCGCTCGAATCATCCCCGGCCTCCAGCTAGGGGAGGCATCGTGTACCTCCTCGCCGGAGGTGGATCTTGAAGGCCTGGGAATGGGCACCAACACCAACACAGGGGGTTGCCTCCACAGAGGGAAGATGATCCTAGATTTGTGTCACCTTGGAAGCCAAAAGTATTACCACCATCACCGAGATCGGGATCTTCTTCCCTTGGTGGACACACATCGCGGATTTTGGTGTTGGTGTCAACCTCTAGGCCTGGCCCTCGCCTTGCCATCGCTCGGACGTCCATTCCCCGTGCATCCTGTGGTTTCGTGCGTGCGTTTTCTCAAAGTGGTCCTTAATGCTCCAAGATTCCTAAATACCTCCTGCGAGAGCTGTAGGGTTGTAGAATCAGAAGCCGGCAACGCAATGTAGTCCTGAATCTCGTTCTGGCATCAGTGACAGCACCTCGGCGCGCATTGCCTGAACTTGCAGCGTGTCCAAGCAGGCCTTTCCCAAGCGTTTCCCAATACGTCTGGCTCAGAATTTCTGGCTCTGGCCTCGACAAGAAAAGTGCACACGTCCAAGAGATGCCAAGTCGCGGTCTAGACTCGGAGGCACGATCCCGCGGGGCATCCGCGGGTGGAAAAAAAAAAAAAAAAAAAACGACGAGGTCGTCCAGAAATCTGGAACCTTCCCCTCTGAGCACATCCCCTCCGAAGGTTGTCCATGAGGCGACGATAAAACAAATCTGGACGCCCAACATGGGTATACGGGAAAAAAGGGTGCGATGCCCAACAACAAACGCTGTCCAGAAACGACAGCGGCCGTGGTTGGGCACGGAATTTCTCGGGTCGGAGCTGGACCCCCTTCCCTGGCGCGCGGAGCGCGCCGGGGGCGGCGCCGGGGGCGGCGCCGGGGGACCCCAGCGCCGATCCGAGAAATCCGCGCAGAGCTCCGAGTGCTCATGTTCATGCCATTGCTGATTCCCCCATCCTTCCCCCCGCGTCCTCGTTCTCCTCCTCCTCGTTCTCCTCCTCCTCCTCCTTTTTCTCTCCGTGCCCAGTTCGATCGTGCCCAGCCGTGGCGACGGCGGCGGCCGCGGCCCGCGCGCGCGCGGGCAGGCGGAGAGGGCGGCATGGCGGGCCTGCTGCCCGAGCTCGCGCGCGACGCTGGCGTGCCGGCCCCCGAGAGGCGGCTCGCGGCGGCGCTCGTCGGGCCGCTGCGCGGGCGCGCCGGTCGCCGTCGCGGCCGCAGGCGTCTTGCGCGCTGGGCGCTGGTTTCACCTCCTCCCTCTCCTACCTCCCTCCCTCCCTCCCTCCCCCTCCCTCCCTCCTCCTCCCTCCTCCTCCTCCTCCTCCTCCTCCTCCTCCTCCTCCTCCTCCTCCTCCTCCCTCCTGCTCCTGCTCCTGCTCCTGCTCCTCCTCCTCCTCCTC